TAATTAAACACAAATGTGTTTCATTTCATTTTCTATTTCTCTCTGACAACTCTCAGTATTCAATCTACCTTAGGCTGGGGATGTACTGCCGTAGCATGCAAGAGGTTTTGACAGGTTACTTATCAAAGGAGAGTTACATACTTCACTATCACTCAATTTACACCGTATGTTCATGCAATACTTTGAAACGCACATAGGAAACAGTTCAGCTCACGTGATCGCATTTAGAATCCCAAAACCGGAATTGTGCAAGTAATGAAATTCAATGCAGACATTGAGTATACCATGGCGGTGAGAATCTGTGATTAACCTTATCCGAAGGACAATCTCAATCTAACTGCCTACTCCCCACCTTTTCAAGTTCTTTTCAATTCAGTACTTTCCCAGTTCAAAAAGAGGTAAACCCCATGATCAGTGATATACCGTAAGGGAGAGGTATGTGGGGGAACATTCAAGAAAAGAATCAATTTGTTAATCCTGCTTTTGAAAAGGGCAAGGTTATAAGAGCTGGGAAACAGGAAAATGGGAAGAGTGTTCCACAATTTCGCAGTCCTCGGGAGAAAAAGAAAATTGAAAGATAGAAGTCCGACATTTGGGGACAGAAATCTGATAAGGGTGACTGGTCGCCTGAGAACGAGATGGACGAGTGAAAGTCAATGGAAGGGGAACCGCTGAAGCCAGTTCGGAAGGGAAGAAACCAAAATGGTACCGATAGAAAAGAGATAACGTAGCAACTGCCCGGCGATGGGAAAGCGACTGCAGGTTGGAACTTAAAGAGAGTTCGGCGATCAGCCGGATGGTTTGACGCTAAACACGGTCAAGGAGAGAAAGAGCGGAGTACGAGGCTCCACTCCATACCTGACTGTGGTACTTCAGCATTGAGCGGATTTCAGCTTTGTATAAAAGAAAAAGATGCTTGGGTGTAAAGAAACNAAGAAACGCCTTGAGCGGAACAGCAAACCAACTAAGGGTACAGTACGAGAGGCAAGTGTAGAGATAAAAGAGGACCAACAGACAGAAGAATTTATAGATATACTAGGAGGATAAAGAAATCTAGCGAACAAAGGGAAAGAGAATCAAAAACGAATACAGGAGAAAAGGAGACAGGTTTAAAAGAGACTAAGACGACAGAACCATTGGAATCATAGAGCGAAATTCGATTGGCTGCGTTACATTCGTGTTCACTATCGCATTGGAATTTATAACTTGGTTTCTACCATATT